GCCAACTAGTGGTCAGAGGCTGAACTACAACATTAAAATGAACGTTGGCAAGAAGGTTGACATTTTAAACCTTAAAAAATCAATACAGGGCTTTAGGATATCGATACAGTATCGGGAAATAAAATATCGCGATATTTCARTGTATCGATATTTTCTTACACCCCTACTTAAAACATACACAAAACAGAGGTGAGACGGGTGCAGAACTTAAAACGTTCAAGTCGTCTGTTGAAAATTCCTGTAATTTTTACAATACAATATATGATGCAGTTAGAAAAATAATTCTCATCACGAAGCAGCCCTAGTACTTGACGTAAACAAAGCAGTCATTAATTCATATGTGTGAATTAAAGAAGTGATCATGTGGGTTAACCTGCTAACTGCTGAGCCACCACCAATATAAAAAATAAACATTTAACCAGTCTTCATGACTCTGTAATAGGCAGCTTTAAGACCCTTTTAGCTCTCTATAAGGCGGAAAAATATAAATAAAATAAAAACCTCTACATCTCAGCAGATGTTGACTGTTTTCAGGGTTTTGTTGACCCAGTTCCACCTGTCTGATATCAGGTCAGCATGTAGACAAAATCATTTTACTGCTATAAACAGACAAAATCATTTTACTGCTATAAACAGACAAAATCATTTTACTGCTATAAACAGACAAAATCATTTTACTGCTATAAACAGAACTTTTACCCTGAACAGAAATAAGCGACATTAATAAGACAAAGTTCATTAAGATTTCTGTTTTTTTAAATGAGTCCATTTTAAAGCCCACTCGTTCATCCCACCGCAGGACTGAACACGTAAAGTTGATGAGCATAAAGCAGCGGATCTGTGGACCGAACACCAGGTGAGAACAAACTGAACACCTGCACGACGTGGTTCCGGTGTTTTTTCAGAGTCATGCTAACAGACATGTTCCCGCTGTGGGAACAGGACGCCCTGATTCGCGACAGGAGAACCGATGGGTGATGTGATTATTCGACGGAGTGGGGCAGAGCTGTCTGCAGATGTCTGTTAAAGTCCAGAAACAGACCGAACAATGGCACTACGGAAGCCCAGCCGCTCGCTCGTCAGTGCTAGCACCAGATAATAAAAACAGATTAAAATACCTTCTCTGAAGATACTGTTTTTATGGCACCGCTGCTTCAACCTGCTCTCCTCCGCCGCCATCTTTCTTGACCTGCTGATAGCGGGGGCCTGCTCTGACGTCACAGAACGCCCCGCGTGGTGAAATAGAAACAAAAGCCCCGCCTCCTGTAGCTGGGCTAGCTCCTGTTAGCGTGTAGCATCACCTCTACAGATGCTGAGGAGGACATCCCATCACCTCCACAGTTTTACAAATAATACTGTGTTTAAAGCAGGGCTTCTTAAACTTTTTGACCTCTGGGCCCAATTTGTTGAACATAAAGTGACACGAGGCCCAGTCAGACATTAATGTATGGATCAAAATGATAATTATTATAATCTAAATCTTGGTTTAATTTTTATTGTATTTCATCATAACTAAACAATCATAACT